AGACGTACGCCCACTTTCGACGTGTGCATTCCCGACGAGGACAAGTACGCCCTGCACATCCTGCTGGTCAAGCACGGCAAGGTGTGCGACGAGTGCAAGGCTGGCGGCAAGAACCTCGGCAAGTGTGCCCTGAGAAAGGCGTTCCGCGACAAGGCCAAGGGTGTCGCTGGCGCCTCGCCTGCGTTGCCCCAAGACGAAGATGGGGACGGGCCGCACCAAGACAAAGATTGGGACGGTGACGCGAAAGAAGAGACGAAAGAAAAGGTCAAAGAGGAGGTGAAGGACCAAGATGAAGAATCATAAATCAAGAAATCCGAGTGCCAAGCACCAGGCACCAGGGCAGATGCTGTACACTACTGCAAAATGAGCGTTTCTGTCATGTATATAAGTGATGTATCAAGTCTAGCACCCGACTACCTAGGGTATTACTCATTAAAGAATGGTAAGAAGCAAAACTCCCGTTCGCGACCTGAAACCAGGACGCCGAAACCCAAGTACGCCAAAGGTGCCCCCAAAGGTCATGTGCCGTCTATCCGTGTATTCCGTCTACCAACCAGCATATTCTCAATGCTAATCCACCCCCACCCCTCACCAGGTAAACTTCATCAGCGCCGGGTTCAGCAGCACCGGCAGCGCAAAGTGGCAAACGGTCACCGACGCCAGCGGATAGATGGACGCGAACGTCTTAATCTGCCACTCGCGCGGGAAGAAGAAGTAGCCCGCGACGAGCAGGCCCGTCATGAGGAAGCAGAACAGGAACGTGCCCCAGAAGCTCTTGATGATCTTGGGGATCTCCTCGAGGAAGTTGCAGTGCTCGACCTCCTTCGAGGTCGCGCCCCACTGGATGTTGATCTCGAAGAAGTGGCAGAGCAGGGCCTTCGAGACGTGCAGCGAGATGCCGCCGAGGAAGATGGAGAAGAGCGGGATCCATTTGAAGTTGTTCCACACTGGCGATTTGTTAGTCAATGATCTGCGTTGCGAAAGCTTGATGGGGGGGGGGGAGACACGTACGCGCTGGCAGGAAGGACTGTTCGCCGAGACGGTACCGCAGGACGGCCAGGGCGATGTTTCCGGCGAGAGGGAACACGATGATGATCGAGAAGTAGATGGCGAAGGAGTCGAGGTAGTACTTGTCGTAGAAGCCAAACAGCCAGCCGGTCAGAAAATAGTTCATGAGCGTCAGGATCCACGAGGCTCCAATGGCGTAGTACGTGCCGATGTAGCCCATGATGGTGATCTTGCGGTAGAAGGCAATGTTGGACATGAGGAACCTCCTGAAGAGGGGGGTGAAAGGTCCACGCACGAACCACAGACGGAAGGGATGGAAGAGGAGCTCGTTGACACCGAAAGCATACTTCTCCCACCGGGCCAACTCGTCGTACACTGTCAGGGAGACACCCTCTTTGAAGCCATCGCCAGGGTATGTGCCAAATCGGAGGGAGTAGCCGGCGGTCTGCAGGCGGAGTGCCATGTCAAAGTCCTCCGAGACGTGCGACTCGGACCAGAACTTCTCGTAGCCATCCTCGTCGGTGTAAGAACCAGCATCCTGGATGGCCGACCATCGAAGAACTGCGTTGTGGCCCACGAAGGGGGGGATATCTCCATTGGCAACAGCAAACTTGATACTCGTGTAAATGAGCTGCGTGAACCAGGTGACGCTGTATGACATGTTAGCTCCATTCAGCTTCTCGCAGGAGTGGAAGAGGCTCACGCTCGCTCAAAGAACGACTCGGTCACGTTCATGACACCGGAAGAGTACTGCAGAATGGCAATCTCAGGCGACGCGTCCATCTCACTGACAGCGTCGAGCAGGCAATCCCTGGGCACACGCGTATCCGAGTCAATGAGCAGCACGTAGTCGCCGACACGCACATTGCCTTCGGCCCACGTGCGACCCTCGTCTTCCTGCAAGACCTGCGCCAGGGCCTGCGTGTAGACGCGATCCTCCGACTCCTGGCTCCACGAGTCGCCCCTCGTGATGCCCTTCAGCTTCTCCTCGATACGGTTGCTCACCATGAGGCAGTAGTTCATGTTCGAGGCCTTCTTGAAGCGACCCCGGCGGAGGAACGGCTTGACCGACTCGTCTTCGGGCTTGGGGTTGTGGGCTGGCCGGCTGACCCAGCCAATGTTGTGCTCCTCGTAGAACTCCTTGCGGCCGAGTGCCTCGTCAGCAGGGAGGAGCTGCATGCCGTCGTCGTTGACGAAGATGTTGGCCGTTCCGCCCTGAAGCTCGTAGGTCGAGATGGCCGCCTTGAGGGAAATGACAGTCGGGCGAATGACGGGGGCGAGGCTCTCCTTGTACACGGGCATCTGGATCGTGATGTGGGGGAGGTCCTGGTGCTCGCGGTTCAGGCGGCGCGGGGGCTGTCCAGAATAGTTCTTCGAGTTGGAGGTGAGGGACGAAATAGGCCCGATGATTTGGAAGATGTCGCAGATGATGATGAGGAAGAAGAACTGAGAAGAGTCAGAAAGCCCATCATTCCTGGTGCCGATTGGGACACACGTACCAGACTGATGAACATGGTCAAGGGGGAGACGGCGACCAATGCCAAGCGCTTAAAGTCTCCGTCGACCATGGTTTGTAGCGCGAGTGACCTCCATCCGAGACCGAGACAGACCACCGAGAGTCCCAAGGTCATCCCGACGATGACGGGGCTCGTCAGTCGAACTGGCCTGTCTTCGGTCTTACCCTCCTCGAGACTGGAGGGTGTGATCTCATCGACAGTCACCTCGGCAGGACTGGCCTTCTCGTCGTCGCCACTCTCCTCGTCACCGCCGTCCTGCCAGATGTACCGAATGAGGTTCTTTTCCAAGCCCTCTGCGCGCTCCAAAATGCGGTCGGCCTCGTCATCCCAAACCACCAGCAGGGGCGGCTCCAGCACGAACGCCGCAAACTGATGCTTGTGGCAGCGAGGTAGGTCTGAAAGCTTGGCGAGCACCTGCAGGCGCAGACCGTCCATGAGGGGAATGTACGGCAGGCTGCCAGAGCTGACGACTCCACGAATAATGGACTGGATGACCGGCGTGTTCATGGTAATCGCACACTGCACTGTCAATCGAAAACCTCCGGTCATGAGCGGTGAGGGTACTTACGCTGACGTTGAGCTGGCAGACCAGGTCAAACAAGCCATTTCGAACATTGCGAATGTCTGCTGGGGCGCAGACGAAATCATTGCGGCCCTTCTTGAGAATCGCGCCCTCCCAGGGACTGAGGCTGGTCGCGTACAACCTCCTCAGCTGGTCCTGCCAGAGGCTGTGGACTGTGACGTCGGCCCTGAGATCGCCGCAGTTGCTGTACCGGCTCAGGGTGTTGGTCGAATGCTGTGGGCCGAGACCTGAGGGCGCCAGCGACGAGGTCCTCCTATCACCGACCGACGATGAGTCTGAGTGGGCTTGTCCATGCTTGGTTTTCTTCTTCTCAGACTTCTCCCCCTTGACATTCTGGAGAGCAGTGTCCTTCTGCTTTGCTGGTGCAAAGTAGCTCTTGAAAGCCTTCATGGTGGGTGATCTGCGCAGGGGGTGTGTGGGCGAGGGGGGGGGGGGGGGGGGGGCTGCAAGACAGTGGAGGTGCGCCAGAAGGAGATGAGCAACTTTCTGGACCAGTCAGGCGGAGCTAGGAGCGACAGACGGGCTTGCAGGAGGCGACAAGGGAAAACAAAAGAGAGAGAGGACAAGGAGGGGGGAGCCCAGACGGAGAAGAGGGACACCAGGTCACAGATATCCTGCAGCAAGACGGCTGCAGCAAGAGCAACAAGCTCGTGTGGTCAGGCGTCACGAGTCTAGATTCCAATATGAAATCGTTGGGGGTTCAGCCTCCAGCCCGTCGACCGGTCAGGCTCGATGCCGACTGCATCGGCATGGAGCTATCGAGTGATATGAGGGGGTAGCGGCCTCTCGGGCGTCTCCGTTGCCTTGACGTCCGTCTCATCCAGCCAGCCAGTGCAGCCAGGCTGAACCCAAGATGGCAACCTGAGTAGGGGGTCACCCATGCTGAATCGAGTATCTGCGGCAGAAGAAGGTGAAGCGAGTTCCGAAAGAGGGTAGCTGTTGATGTGCTGGCGGCGCCACCAGGCATGATCAATGGGACTCAATGGGAGCAGAATCCATTGGACCAGAGCTTGGGAGCCGGGGCTGGGGGTAGGTCAGCCCGGCGGTGATGTGCCTGGCGGATGCGTTTGCGTCAAAGAAAGCCAAAGTTGTGTTATCTGCGGTCAGGCTAGGTCATGTCGTTCAGCGAGGGGAGGCTGCCGCCACAGGGGTGTGAAAGGGTGCTATGGCCGGCCTGGCAAAGACGGTACAAGATGCAGGGCCTGGATGGCTGACAGGTTGTATTGGGAAGAGTCGACCTTGGCATGAAGCCTCCGACTGGTCGCGCGCATGGGTGTGTCAAAGCAATAGGATGCCTTGCGGTGCTGCTGCGGCCACGGAGTGTGGTGATGTTTACGGGAAACGGGCGAGGCCAGGCCGGATCGACGCGGAAGGTGACAGGGTATGGTGCATGTACCGGAGGGCTGGGGTGGTATTATGTGTATGTACGTCCGAACAGGCCATGTTGGTCGGCAGTATCGGCCACCTACCTAGGCAAAGCAACTGTTCATCGGTCTCATCCGCAATCTCCTGAGGGCTGGTTTGATCGCGGAGACATGCATCCTGCCGATGGTCTAGAAAGCTTGGTGAAAGGAAATATTTCTTGGCGAGTTCCCTCTTTGTTGGTTGCTATGAACAGGCGACCTCTGGACAAAGGAATGGTGTCGACATCGTCGAGACTAGACTGCCAAGGGAGACTGAACAAACGTGCCCATCATACAATCAACGCCGGATGGCTGACGGTCTAGCTAAGGTCAGGCAAAGTACCTTGGTACCCTGTTTCGAAATGATTCTGTCGTCTCTCATATCCGCAGCCACTGGCGAAGGGGCAGTAGGGATCCATGATACAGATAGGAGATAGATGGGATCGACAGGAACAATACTGACGCGCTAGGTGAGTTGTTTTCCCTGCACAACCTCGCCTTGCCATTTCTGTCTGGGTAAGGTGCCCAAGGTACCGTGAACAAAACTACCTTAGGCGGGTGCCAGTCAGGTAAGGTATCGAGGTGGGTGGCTCACTTCTAGCTCGTCCCGTCCTCTGGCCAGCTGAGCATCAGGGAGAAACGGTTCCTTGGCAGAACGACGAGAAGAAAGATTCAGAAATGTAATCCTGCAGACACGATGTGCTGCGAACGCACATGTAAATGCGATGCGGTTGGAAAAGGCTTGTGGGACCAGGGTAAGGACCAGGGTCAGATCCAGGACTAGAAGACGGGAAGCAACCCAATAGGCGGCTGATAGGTTCCAACGGCCCAGCCCGTATTCCGATTGCTGTCGCGCGGCTTCGACATATCTTCAGCTGCCCAGACACGGGCTGCGAAACGCTGGCCCAGGGGTTCAAAAATGGGAAATATTGCTCCTTGCCAAGACGGGATGCGCATCTCAGGTCTGCAGTGTCACCCACCAACTGACAACTCGCCCAGCCTCTCAACAAACTGGCTTCGCCCTTCTGCGCATCTCCAGCGTGGCGGAACAGAAGGGTATACCATCCCGAGGGGGCCGGGGGGGAGGGTGGTTGACCCCCATGTGTCTTGAGCCCTACAGTAGCCATCCCCCCTTTGCCCTCAACCCCTGCACCCGTTGCCCCCTTCTGCTCGCATCAAGGCTTCTGTGCCAACTTTAACACGAGTTCTACATAGCACAGCACCCTCTCACGTGTCTAGATAGCGTAACGTGCGTCAAGTCACCACCACATTCTCAGCCCTCACAACACTTATTGGTTGCCGATAAGCCGTACCTCGCTGAGGCCAGCCGCCACCATTGATGACTGCCTGTCGCGCGCATGGTCAATTCTCTAGTCCATCTGGCGCCCATGGGCCGTGGCCTGCAGCTCACGGAACAGAACGGCCACGGCTTCAGGTGAGTGTGAGGAAGCGGGATGCAGGCCATTCAATATTTCTTTTCGCCTCACTCGCCCGCCGTCGCATGCCCCGTGGTTGCAGGAAGCGATAGCCCCATTCGAGGTCTCCGGCGTGATGCGAGGGGCGTGCTCAAGGCATGAACGGTCTGGGACGCAACCCAGCATCACAACCGACATAAAACCCCTTCATCGAAGCACTGAAGAAAACCGGGATGGGCACAAGGGTAGCACTGCCAATGGCTCGAAGACGCGTTCTGCAGAAGAATCGACAAACAATGTTCCAACCCCACGTGCTGTAGCAACATGTTTGGTCACTTTGGTGTCTGCACTGGAACGTCTCGTGCTTTGATCGCTTTTCCTCTTGTTTTTCGGCGTCAACTTTTGCATGGAAGAACGGATGCCGAAGGCAAGACGGCGGGGGTGAGGCAGCAAAACATGGTCATATTGCGCGAGGGCTGCTGCGTTGTTTTATTCCCTCCCAGCAAATGCATCGAGCGGTCTGGACATGCAACGCCATGCCGGTGAGAGCGCAAATAGACAATGTTGCATTACTTTTATGCACCTTCGCTAACACATGCGCCGCACAACCTCATTTTGCGCCTGACTACTGACACATTCTAATCAGGCTATTTCTGGGCACGTTCGGTTGACAACGGCGGCGACGGGGATGTGTCCTGATAATCATTTATCTAGTAGCGCCGTGGCGGGCCGCCACCCATCTGTGCCTTGGGCGGTGCGCTTGGTCTGTCGGCGTTTTCTATTCTTTGCGTGCCCGAATTAGGCCTCAGTACTTCTTCAGATGGACAGCAAAGTGGCAGAAAATAAAGATAACGAACTGAATAGAAGCATAAAACGAGGGGTGCATCCAAATGCTTGTGCGATACTTTTATTGGATTTGTTCATCGTTGCCAAAGTAGTGGTTCGGCTCCTGGAAACATCCTTGCCGGAGCTGTTCGGGAAGGCGGTGATGATCTTGTGTACTGAGGCCATATTTCGGCACCAAAGGGGAGCCATTGTGCGTATCCATTTATCAAGATACGAACGGTCTGTCAGGTCTGTCAGCTTGCAGAGGAGATGAGCGCCGGCGGACAATGATAAGGATGCCACGAAACCTTCCATGGCCAGCAAGCTGAGAGAAGTGGTAGCAGATGACTGTATGGCGGCTATGGCCGGCCATCTATCTGATAGTTGGCTCATTTGTCCCGCCGGATCGCGGGGTTTCTAACTGCTCTGGATCTCACAGACAGGCCGAACAGCGTACTCGTATAAGTGACGCCCTTCACTGACCGCAAACGCAGATTCAAGTAGCAGTCAGTCCAATTATTCCTTTGCTGCGCCTGGGCCGCCAACGTCATTCGGCCTCAAGCTCCGATCCGTGCCGATTACAGGCCAGGCTGCCTAACGCACGAACGATGAGTAGCTGACAAGGGAGCAACATGGTCCCGACACGTGACTTTGAGACAGTCAGGTCCGCGTATGGAGTTTCCAAGCCACTATCGTGGAACCACTGAGCCTCATCAAATTGCGGAGAAGATGTACCTGGTCGATCCCCAAGGCTTAGATTTTACGCGTATTGAAATCCCAAAGGAGCCCCAACACTCAAACCTGGCTGCTCTTGGTTTTACCTTGTGTAGTGGCGTCATATGTCTTGGTGAAACCAAGAGGTGAGCCCTGCGAGGCAGCCTTGGTGTTTTGCGGATGCGGCCTCCATATATAATAAGTTGAATCATGACCGCTCCTGCGCCATCGCAGTTGTGATCTGTATCTCAAAGTCGGGCCCGCATTCTCAAAGAAACAACCAAACATCGGAAAACCATGGTTCTCTCTCACAAAAAGTTAAGAGCTTTCGTCTCACTCACTCTACTCTCTGCGGCTAAAGCGAGCCCGACTTGTAACTCCAAAATACAATGGGGTGACTGCGGTGAGGACATCACGAATATCACCGAAGCACTTAGCGGCCTACCTGTGCAATGTGGAACTTTGCAGGTACCCCTCGACTACAGGTTTCCAAACTTGACCGAAAAGCTTTCGTTAGAACTCGCCAGAGTGCCAGCCGTCATTCAGCCCTCGAAGGGCAGCATCCAGCTCAATTTTGGAGGACCTGGGATCCCAGGCCGGCGAACCCTGGCTCAAGCAGCTTCGATATATATGAAGTCAGTCATTAAGGAGCCGTATGGGCACTTAGAGCATCGCCAATCGACTGACACTTCTACAGCTTCACTGGCGGCCAGTATGACCTCGTCGCATTCGACCCCAGGTATGCATCCATGTCACTTTACTACGGAGACATATGCTTGTCTGAATTGTTGCTAATGGAAAACTTCCAGAGCCACCGGCAGCACAGTCTTTTCCTGCTTCACCAACCCATTGGCTAAAGCGCAGCACACCTTCAATTCCGGGGTCACAAGCACCGCGTCGGATGTAGCTGAAGGACAGCTCTGGGCTGCGGGCACGGTGTACTCCAACGCTTGTCTTGAGACGCAGGCCAAGAACTCAAGCCTGGTCAATTCCCCTTTTTACGCACGAGATTTGATCAGCGTCGTCGATGCGCTGGGCGAAGATGGCATGCTGCGCTTCTGGGGTGAGTTTATGCCCGCAAGGCTACATGACGATGCTAACAGACGAATGAAAAGGTCTGTCTTATGGCACCATCGTTGCTGCGACGGTCTCAGCCATGTTCCCGGAGAGGATTGATAAAATGGTGTTTGATGGCGTGCAGAACCCTCACGAGTACTACTATGCCCTTGGGTACGTTTTCTATTCTGTTGTTGACCAGCAACCCCAGCACTCATAACGTATGGGACCTTGCTGACCAAGTTCCAGTGATTTCGAAGAATGGACAGACACGGACGACGTCTTTTCGGCCATCTTCTCCACCTGCCTCGACTTCCCCGAGAACTGTGCCCTGTCCAAGTACAACATCTCTGGTGCCGAGCTCGAAAAGAAGTTCTGGGATTTTCTCGAGACGATCAAATACGACCCTCTCGTTCTGGGACCCGCCACAGTCGACTACTCGACCCTCAAGTTCATCACTGCCCTCAGCCTCTACGACGCATCAACCTGGCCGACTTATACAGCTTTCCTCGATCTCCTCATGACGCGATCCAACGACACACTGGCCGTGCAGACCATGACGGAAAACGGGTGGCTGACCACCAAATCCGAAGGCGACGAGGCCATCTTCCAGATCCGCTGCGGCGACAGGGTGGCACGAGCTGCCAGTCTCGAAGAGTTCAAGCCTGCGATAGACAGGCTGACCAACACGAGCCGTGTCTACGGAGATCTGGTCGTAGCTCTCAATGCCGCTTGCGCGCAGTGGCAGGTCGGCGCCGCCGAAAGACTCGATTCCGACTTTCACGTCAAGACGAAGAACCCGGTCTTGTTCGTCGGCAATACCTGGGACGGACACACGCCGCTCGTGTCGGCGAAGAACGTGAGTTCGACGTTCGACGGGAGCGGTCTCTTGAAGATTCGCGGCTATGGTGTAAGTGATCCTGGACATGCTTCCTTGTCCGTATTTGGTCCATTGTAGTATCTTGAGGCTGACTGGGGCTATGTAGCACGGTTCGCATGTCCTGCCCTCTTCGTGCTCGCTCAAGGCGATTTCTGCTTACTGGACTGATGGTGTTCTGCCGGAGCCTGGGACGGTATGCCCGGTGGAAGGGGTGCCCTATTCAGGAATGACGTGGGCCGATGTGTATGCCGAGGTCGCGAGCAACAAAACAGCTCACACTTAGTGCATTTGAGTGGATATCTGTTTCTGACATTAAGCCTTGACGCTGACACTGGGGGTAGAGATGGAGAGGTTCAAGAGTGCGAGGAGTAGGATATGGGTCATGACTTGATTGGATAGCAAACTCACAGCTGAGCTACTTTCATTTAGTCGTAAGGGATGTATGAGTACCTAGTCAACTACAAGCTTAGGTCCTACAAGTATTTAAGGCTGTGGAAGAAGATTTACATTCACTTGTTCCCAATTTCGAGTCACTTGCAGGGCCACTTGCACAAGCAATTGAAAACTCTTGCTGATATCCCCACCTTATCCAGGGAAGTGCCTCTTCAATTAATGCCACGCTCCGGACATAACTTTAAGCATGATATGGCGAACTGCCGAAGCAAGCCTGCCCCAACCTTTTCGTCACGCATTGAAGCATGTTCCTTCTTCATTCCAACTTGATTGCGTGTCACTGGAAACCCTTTCCAGCCTCAGGCTATACTGCAATACCTGACGCGACTCGAGACAAGCGTATGAGACGACTGCCGCAGATATTGCGAGGACGCATTAGCCAAACTGGACTCCGCACTCCTTTTGGCAATGACATGCCACCGACACGCCTTGACCATACAGCAGGCCCCTCCCGGAGGGTTTCGACAACAGGCAGCAGTTTTACGAAAAAGAGTTTCCATTCCATACGACAGATGGCACAGAACATTTTCTTTTACTCGTTTCCATCCAGAGACAGCCTTTCGTCACGGTCGTGTAACTCACGGTCGTGTAACTCGTTGGTCAGACAGCATCTCGAGCACACCTCGAGATCACGGCAACCCATCAACACAGCTCGTCGACTTAGTGAACAGCAAACACACAACCATCACAACGGATAATCTTGTCTGCAACTCTAAAAGCCATGCTCTTCACCGCCGTTGTAACCATCCTTCTCGCCCTCGGTCCTCTGGCTGCCCACGCCAAGTCACAGGGCAAAGTCACGCACCCAACCTCCGACACAAAGCTTGACCTCAGCAGCAATGATCGGTCTATGAAAATCACCTGGGCGTACGAAGGCGAATCGAGAAAGTGGGATGACGTTGATCTTGTTCTCCTAGGCGAGTCGAGAGACGCTGCAGGCTCTACCAAAGAGTGGTCTGCGAGCGTGCGAATGGACATCGATATAGGTGCGCGCTCTTTCACACACAACTCGACAAGAGGTTCCTCTTTGCTGGACGATATGCTGCTCAGATACGCGGATGGAGGACGCTGGGCGATTCGATATGGTGTTCGCTACCGCAGATGGGACGCGCTGGAGGATGTCTTCTTCTCTGAACCTGTGGCAGTGGAAGGAAAGCCATGTGATGGATTGTAATTAGGATGGCTATTTAGGTTGAGTAATTCATGTTTGCCATGCACGCTGTCTCAAAGTTCCTCGGCATCTTGGTTCAAGTGCAACTTTGGTGGTTCTAGGCTTCCAGCTGGCAGTTCTCTTTTCCTAGCAGGGGGCCTCCACGCAAGAGCGCTAACCCTGATGCCTATAGCGCCAATGGCCTCTGTGGAGCCCCTGACACCCCCTAAAATGGTCAGCCGCGTCCTTCTTCACCTGCCTCGATGGGGCTTTGCGTGCACCTACCGATCCCTGCTTGACTCCTTCCATCTTCTCCGCCGCATCCTCCCAACTGCATCCTGATCGCACATCATCAGGCTACAGCACCAAGAGTACCAAGAGCACCAACGACACTCTGGCATCGGCCATGTTGTCCCCGGAGAGAAACACAGCAGCTGAAGAGTCGCAACAAGTGTCTTCAAGCACTGCCCAGCACACCCACGTCCAGTTTGCCCCCCAGGCACTGACGCCCACGACGCCTTGGACTTCTCTCCATGACCCCGTGCCGCATCTTTCTGAGGCCTCGTCGACATCGCCAGCCGAAACCTGGCGACTGGATCACTTTGTGTCCGAACCAGGCTACCTCGAGTACCAAGAGGAGCTTCGCTGCCTCATCTTCAACACGGCCCAGACTGCCGCTCCCACCCGTGAAGGCACCCCCGAGCCTGGCACCACCCTTCCCGAGGCCCTTCCGCTGGTGCCCTCTTTTCCGAACCCCTCAGACGACGCTGCGAACCGCCGCCAGGCCGCTCAAACCCTGGCCTCGCCTCGACGTTTAGAGTTCCTGAAGAACTACGTTGCTGAGGTCGCTCCGTGGCTCGACATGTTCGACAGCGACCGGGCCTTCGGCATCCAGGTCCCAGTGCTTGCTCAGTCCTCACCCGCCCTTCTCTACGCCGTCCTCGCCCTCTCGGCTCGCCAACTGGAGCGCAAGGAAGGCAGACAGTCTTCTTTCGACAGTCTCGAACTCTACCAAGAAGCCATCCGGTTGCTCACACCTCTATTGCAGGTTCGTGATCAAAAGATCATCCCCATTTGCACAATTCTCTGCTGCATGGAGATGATGTCGGCGAGTGCTCAAGACTGGAGGAAGCACCTCGAAGGCTGTGCTGCCTTGTTCGACTCGTTCAACGTACACGGCTTCACGGGGGGGCTGTTGCAGGCTGTTTTTTGGTGTTATGCAAGGATGGGTAAGTAGGACGGCAAAGACCTCTTCCGTGTCTCTTCTGAAATGCACATCCTAACAGCGCATCGCTAGATCTCTGTGGTGCCCTCATCTCAGATGGAACTGAGAGCACTCTTCTGCAGCCGCCAAAATGGCTTCCTAGTGGTGCTACACACTCGGAAGCTGTTGACCTGTTTCGCCAGTCCACTTCGCCGGACATGTACGCCAACCATGCCGTCTACCTCTGCGCCAAAGTATGCGAGCTTGTCGCAGACCGCACACGATTTTACGAGCTTGGCGACGACACCAGCGTCAACCCTGACGACCTGACCGACCGCTGGCTCCGTCTGTGGGACGACCTTCAGTCATGGAATCTGAGTAGGCCGCCTGAAATGCTCCCTGCCCAGACCATCCAAAGCACGCCTTTTCCCCAGATCCTCTTCCTACACTGGGCCGCCATATCCTCCAACCAGCTCTACCACACCGCCTGTGTCCTCCTTCTCGGCTCCACGCCACGCCCCTTGAATCTGAAGCTTGGCATCAGTGGCTCGGCTGTATGGCATGCCAAGCACATCTGTGGCATCTCCCTCGCGAACCCGCATCAGGGCTGCTTGAACAATGCAATTCAGCCTTTATGGGTGGCAGGGCGTCTTCTGAGCCACAAGTCTGAGCATGCCCTTCTCGTCCAGCTGATTCGGAGCATCGAGGCCATGACGGGATGGGGCACATGCTGGCGAATTGACGACCTGGAGTCGGCATGGGGTTATAAAGTCCGCGGGAAAAGTTCGCGCATGACCAACCTCATGGTCTGACTCTGAACGTAACAATTTCTGCCCGCTCCCTTCATCCAGTGGCCATACCCCAATCTTCTCGAGCCTTGTTGACGAAGAAGCTGACATCCCACCCTGTCATGGTCTTGATCTTCTCGAAACAGCCGAGCACGGCCAGTTGTTGCGGCTCATACGTCATGCGCTGAGCAGCTCGGTAGAGTGCAGCCACCAGACACAGATCCCAGCTATCCCGTCGGTCGTTGTTCATCGCTATGCCGCAGACACGCTGGGCATGCCATAGCGGCGACATGGTGGGGTCCTTTCGCGCGGCGCCGACGGACAGGGTACGAGGCCGGTGCTGCAACATGAGAAGCATGGCTGTGTGGTACAACTGGTTCGCGAAAACCGCGGCACCATTTGTGAAAAGCAACACGGGGAACAGGCTGTCGTCGACCTCCGTCTCGATCATGGGATGGAATTCGCGAGGACGATTGGTGTACCAAGCGCTCAGAGCGTCGCTGAGCATGGTCCACCGCTGTACTGGCGACCGCGGTGCGCTGCCAGTGGTGGTCGCTGGCGCTGGAAAGCTACAAGCGCCAAAGTTGACAGCTTGGGCGCACAACAAAAGAGATTCGCTCGCGGACTGAAACACAGTGTCGGCAATAGCCGATGTTTGCCACTCTGGGGGGGTTGCTGGATAGTCGAGCTGATCCGGAATCAACACACTCGTGCCATTGACGAGGGCTTTGCCAAGGTCTTGTTGGGAGCATCATCAGCTGGAGACTCTCTGTGGGACAAACGAAAGCGAACTGACCCAGTCTCAACAATAGCCCAAGCACCGACAAGCGCAGTTTCGAAGGGGTTTGCGCCAGCTCTTTCGAGTGAGCGCCATCAGCGAGAAGGCATGTTGTGCTATGCCACGAGCCAGGCGCATCTCTGAGGAACTGCGTTGTACTGGCGAGTGCTAGATGGATGAGCTCACTATCGTTGACGGACTCAAAGACCTGATTCTGCATGAAGCCAGTGTCGGCTGTGATATGGAGAGAATGATCATTCGTTTGTGTTAACCGTCCGGCTTGTAACGACTGGGACGACAGCGCAAGCAGCGAGTGCAGTGCGCTTCCAGATTCCATCGCCAACCGTGGCACGACGAGGCCAAAGCACTGGCTCATGTCGCAGATGTCTAGCCAAGGAGCAACTTGGTATCGGTATTGTCGGAGCAGCTGCAGAATCGTCTCCTGCGAGATGGTCCCGGTTGCCGACGCACCTGCGCTGCTGGGTGAGGACACGAGTGGTGGGTGTAAAGCCGCCACTCGTTCATGGCTTGGGGAATGAAGAATCTGAGGTGGTTCATCGTTGCCGAGAGAAAGGAGCACAGTCAGGGCAGTTTGGTAGTCGGCGTCTTTGGGAGACGCCTGCATCCTGTCGGTCATGACGACCATAGAATGCTGTGGCGAGCTCTGGATGGGATCTCCATCCTGCGGCCAGGGTCCCGGCGTGAAGTGATCATTGACGAAGGGCACTTGCTCTCTGGGAGTTTCAGCTGCCACAAGCTCGTGTATTTCTGGATTTTTTGGCGTCGACTCGATCAGTCGCTCCAGCGTGGCTCCTGAAGCTGTCGGCGACGTCGTCATGTCATTGTTGCCATCACCTCCATCTAACTCTTTCGAGGTTGAGACTGAGGACCCAGGATCAACAAACTTCGAACAATCAGCAACAATCAGTCATGGCAAGGACCGGTACGCACCTGAAGACGAGAATACTGCGTCTCGTTCGATTTGGGCGTTGGCGACACTGTCAGAGCATTCTTGTGCAAGAACGTTAATCTCGGGCCGTACTGGCAGTCAAAGCCGCCCTCAATGCAGCGCCGACATTTTGGCTTCTCCTCGTCGCCTGATCACAGTATGTCAATTTCGCGACTCCAGAGCAGGCCTCTCGCGGTCCGAACGGGCATGGCACCCCACAAGCACAGTCAAGGCGCCAAGGACTGGCACGTCCGGATGGTGGGCCGACTCACATTTGCGGCGCCGGGTCCGACATTTCATACACCCGGTCCTCGTCCTCTTGTGGCGACTTCTGGACGGAGCGTCGTCGGTCGCCATGCTTGTGCTCTCGCAGGCCCAGTGTCTGGCGAGAGGGTGGGAGGGATATTTTGGTCGGATTGGGACGAATGACGGAGAGAGACCATGGGTGAGTCGGGGGCAACAAGTGGAGGGCTATGTGGCTGGGTGGGGGAGAACAGGGCACGCCGTCTGGGGAGCTGATCCTGGGTTCAGTGATCTACCAAGGGTCTCTGCAGGCGAGCCTCGGGCTGTGAGGTGGACGTGTTCCCCCTCTAAGGTCTCCTGTCATCTTCAAGATTACCTGAGCTGAGAAGGCTTATGGCTTTCCCACAGGCTCACATCTGAACACAGCGCCTTTCGTGTCATTTCCGTAGGCGACGAGCGGCGAAACGACGGAGAAAATGAAGACAACGGCGATTTCCCCGCATCGGCCTCGGTGTTGGCGAGTCAAGAGACAAAGGTCAAGCAACAAGATCCCTGTCGAGACGTCAAGCGGGCCCTCTCCCAGCGGTTAGAATATCCCAAAATGGAAGCCAGTGGCTAGCATGCCTCTTTGGGACACCATGATGAAATGTATCGGCTGTCCCGCATCGTGGATGTGGAATCTTACACAGAGTTGAAAAGGAAGAAAATATCTGGACGAGGACCGCGGCCTTGATCGGTCGTCATTTGCAACACGAACTCCTCTTCACAGTACAGCCACATCACTGATCTCCCACAAAATCTCAGCATGGGCAAGTCAACGATTACCCTGGCGTCGGGCCACGAGATGCCCCTGGTGGGCTTCGGCCTGTGGAAGGTGCCCCGCGAGACTTGCGCCGACACTGTCTACAATGTACGTTTCGACCAACATGTGCCTTCGCTCGACAGAGAAGCATATTGACGCCTCCTTTGTAGGCCATCAAGGTCGGCTACAGGGTATTCGACGGAGCGTACGACTATCAGAACGAGAAGGAGGCCGGCGAGGGGATCCAGCGCGCGATCAAGGAGGGACTCGTCAAGCGCGAGGACATTTTCATCACGACCAAACTCTGGAACAACTATCACCGCAAGGAGCACGCCATCGATATGGCGAAGAAGCAGAACGAGGCCTGGGGTCTCGGCTACATTGACCTCTTTCTCATCCACTTCCCCTGCGCCCTGAAGTACATCGAGCCCTCGAAGCTGCCCTACCCGGTACGCAGCCTTTCGTGTTGATATGGGATTGACAAGCTCTGACATGCCCTAGGCCTGGTGGACCGATGCCGAGCGCTCCTCTGTCGAAACTGACAAGGTCCCCATCCGCGAGACGTGGGAGAGCCTCGAGTCGCTCGTCGACGAGGGTGTCGCCAAGTCGATCGGCGTCAGCAACTTCCAGGCCCAGTCCCTCTACGACATCTTCACCTACAACCGCCACCCGCTGTCCTCTCTGCAGATCGAGCACCACCCCTACCTCGTCCAGCCCGAGCTCGTCCAGCTCGCGCAGGAGAACAAGATTGCCGTGACGGCCTACTCGTCCTTCGGCCCCCAGTCCTTCATGGAGCTGCCGCCTGCGTTCAACAAGCGCGCCCGCGGCGCGCAGGGTCTCTTCGAGGTCGAGACAATCACGGCTTTCGCGGGCAAGCACGGCGTCACGCCGGCGCAGGTGCTCCTGCGGTGGGCGACGCAGAGGGGCGTCGCCGTCATTCCCAAGTCGAACAGCCAAGACAGGCTGAGGCAGAACTTGGAGGTCAACGGGTTCGACCTGACGGCGGAAGAGCTGGAGAGCATCTCGGATCTGGATCGGGGGTTGAGGTTCAACGACCCGGGATTCTACCTGCCGGATCACCCACTGCGCATTTTTGCTTAGGGGGAAATGGGAATTGATTCAGGGATGGTTGGAGTGTAGATACATAGACAAAAGAGACAATAGTGAAAATCAGAGCAAATGAAACACGTTCATCCTCAGCTTCTTTACCCTCCTAATGCTCGTCATGATATAAATTTCTCAGGTTTGGGTATGAAAACGGCGTGGCTGTAGGACGTATTTACTCAGCTACGCTCTGTGGGAAAGTAACCGATCAAAGACAAGCCATCGAGAACATGGCGACCATCCGAGAGAAACCAAACATTTGACTGGCCGGTTCCTCCGAGATTCCCAATTCGAGAAACGGGGACTCCCGCAACCGCCGTCCGGGTCCCATGGCATCTGGAACCGCCCCTCCTTTCCGTGTTAGGCAATGGGAAGCACTCCCACGTTGCCTCGTCCAAGGAGGGCAATCTAAACACTGGTCGCCTCTCATATGGGACCTAGACCCCTCGTCGTACTTGGGCCATGATGAGGCTCTGAGTCTACTTTTCTCTGTCGTACGATACATACTTTTGCGAGCCATCATTTGATTGAGTGACCTTTGACATATTGAGACGACCACTGAATAGATCAGACCTGTCTCGCGACCGCAGCAGATTGACGGCCAGCGCAGGGAAACGGAATTGACGACGAGAAGCCGCTGACTTTCCAGCACGAATCAGGGCCGTTGGCGTTTGAAGAACATAAATACACAGTCGATCGACCATCAAAATGGCACCCGCGGTGCTCGAACCCAAGGTCGCGTGCTGTCTCCCCGTGAAGAACAGCAGCAAAGGCTTCACTAGTACCACCGTCAAGGAGATCCCTGCTGTCAACGACGCCGAGGTCCTCCAGGCGCCGCTACCTAACCCTTCACTCCAGGTCACAGCCGACCACCGGATCAAGACTGTCGAGGCGCTGGTCCTCGCGCCGAAGAAGGGGGAGGTTCTGCTTCAGATCAAGGCAACGGGCGTGTGTGGGTGAGTTTCAACCCCCAAAGTTCTCCGCTCTTCTCTTCCATCTCGGGACATTTCCCTGACGAGGCAGCTCCGATATTCACTTCTGGAAATCCGGCCGCATCGGCACCCTGGTGGTCGAAGGCGACTGCATTCTCGGCCACGAGGCCGCCGGCGTCGTCATCCGTGTAGGAGAAGGCATCACCAACTTTGTCCCCGGCGACCGGGTCGCAATCGAGCCCGGCGTTCCGTGCGGCGACTGTTTCCTCTGTCTGGAAGGCCGGTACAACCTCTGCGAGGACGTGCAGTTCGCCGGCGTCTATCCTTACCACGGCACGCTGCAGCGCTACAAGACGCATCCCGCCAAGTGGCTCTACAAGTACGTCCATCGTCCCGAAGCCACTGCGGCATCCTCTGTCTGCATCCTGATGATTAGATCAGCTGTCAAAAACTCAAAGCTAACCTGCCAGGCTCCCCGACAACATATCCTACGCCCAAGGCGCCCTCCTTGAACCCCTCTCCGTCGTCCTGCACGGCATCCGCACCGCCGGCCTCGAGCTGGGCACCGGCGCCGTCATCTGCGGCGCCGGCCCCATCGGCCTCATCGCGCTCGCCGCCGCCCGCGCCTCGGGCGCCCACCCGCTCGTCATCACCGATATTGAGCCCCTGCGCCTCGCCTTCGCCAAGGAGCTCGTGCCCGGGTGCCTCACCTACCGCGTCGACCCGAGCCTGGGCGCAGAGGGCAACGGAAAGGCGATCCGGGCGCTGTTCGGCACCGAGACGGCTGGGGAGTACGTCGCGCCGAGGACGGTGCTCGAGTGCACCGGGGTCGAGAGCAGCGTCTGCGCCGCGGCGTTTGCGGTGCGGAGGGGCGGCACGGTCATGGTTATCGGGGTGGGGAGGGAGGTGATGAACAATCTGCCTTTTATGCACATTTCGCTGTCTGAGGTGAGATGCCGACCTGGCTTGCTGGCTGTCTTGTTGGCTCTGTACTGACGGGAGGTGGTCGACAGATCAAGCTCGACTTTATCAACCGGTACAGGGATACGTGGGCGCCGGGCATTCAGTGCCTGAGCGGTGGGATATTGAAGTTGGACAAACTCATCTCGCATACGTTTCCGCTTGAAAAGGCGGAGGAGGCTTTGACGCTGTCGTCTGATGTGAGGAACGGGAGCATCAAGGTGCAGATTGTGGATGAGGTTGAGTCGCCACTATTTTGAGAGCTGAGGACTTGAAACATGGGCTTTATTGGGTTAGCAAAACATGATGATGACCGACGTGATGGTTTCTGTGGCGAATCTGAGGCCGACCGTCTTGAAAAGGGGCATATGTCCGGTACTCCTCGATGTGACAGTTGGACCACCTTGGCTCGTTCTCGTTGATCTCCAACGAGCAGTTCATGGTGAAGTTAGCCGAAAGCTCCAGTCATAGGGGATGTGGAGGTTCTTTGGTGATATTCTGTATACTAGGCATAATGGTGACTGTCATGGCCTCTTCACCGGCGCAGCCTCTGACCTCGCCCCTTTGGATAACTACAGAACCATATAATAGTGTGTGAATCGCGCCTCTGATGGTATAATTCGGTGAACAAACACTGCAACTTTCAGGTCCCCTCTTAGCATGGCAATCGCACTTCCGTGAATCGCTCACCTGTGCCTATTCACAGCGACCGCCGAGCCTTCACGAGCTCATAAATCTCTACTCCCTGTGTCAACCCCCTAACACGATGGTCAATGAAATCCCTAACCTTCAGCAACAGGCCCTCGATCATACCATCCAGCGAAACACCAGTACCCAACTTCAACATGGCACACAACGAATACAACTACAACCAAATCCTCTCACCTCAGGAGGAGCGCCAAGCACAGCCCTCGCCACGCCCACCAACCCTCCAAACCATCTCTCCCCCCCGTCCTCCCCCCATCGAGATTCTCTCCATCAAGTTCGCAACTTCACTGCCACCAAGCACCTCCCCCCAACTCCCCCCAACAGCCAGCCCAGCCCCCGTCTCCGACCTCCCCTACAAGCTCGAGCTCGACTTCCACATCCGCTACACCGCCCACCCCCGCCCCATCGACATCCACCTCGCCATCCTCCCCCACCGCATCCCAGCCCAGAGCCTCTTCCACCAGACGCCCCCCACCCAGCCCGATCTACAGTCCTACTACCTCCACCAGCTCGCGCCCCTCTGCTACCGCGACCTCGACCTCAACCCATCCGTCCGGGCCCTCGGCCGCCAGACCCTCGACCGCCTAACCCACCGCATCCTCCTCTTCTGCGAGCGCCACCTCCGCCCCGTCCTCGCCGCGCTCGCCGACGCCGGCCCCGTGATCCTGGAGCCGATCCCGCTCGTCACGAACGACGTGGCCAGGGAGGAGGGGCTGGGCCACAGTTTCGTGCCCGGCAGGGGGATGCCGCGGGGTCGCGTCACGGGGGCTCTGCAGCCCGTCATACCTGTAGGGGGGACGGCTCGCTGGACATGGAGTTTTTCGAGCGCGTGTTTCGGGGGATCAGGGAGGGGGGGACGATGGACCGATTTCAGCCCGCTTGGGATTCAGGGATGGATGCGGATTATTCAACATGAGCATCTTAGGGTAGGCAGTTCCGGAAGAGGTAGAAAAGAAATAGTCGTTACCTGAGATGTCGAGAGCTGCCGGTTACCGTCATCACTCACATGGCAGCCACCTGCCTACATGCTAGTGAAAGGCGAGGATTCTCTCGCCACTGTTGCTGGCACAGGGTCCCAGGCAGCGAACTAGTCATGACAGTCTACAAATAAGCTTTCACATGTCATGACGAAGGTGCAAAATCGTGAGAAGGAGCTTGGTTGGCCCTGGATTCTATCTATCATACCGCCCAGCCCCATACGGAACACCCATGATATGGACACGGCTAACCACCGTAGGAAAAGTCTCAAGCAAGATAAGAACGACCTGTTCAAGCCATACATGGCCTTTTTCATCGTACAAACGAAGACACTGCGTCCCCCCCCATCTATTAGACACGTCATATTCGTAACTCCGCACTTCTTATGGCAGACTTCTCACTGCTCCTCCTCATCGACATCCACGAGACGGCCCGAGTCCCACTTCTTCTTCGCCGCCTTGATGAGGAGGTCCAGCTCGCCGCTCATTTCACACATGCTGCGGAAGCTGCCCTTATCCTTGCGGATCAGCTCGTAGGGGTGTCCGTACTCCACGACGGAACCCTTGTCGAGAACGAGGACCTTGTCATAGTCGACAATGGTCTGCAGGCGATGCGCAATGGTGATAATGGTACTCGTCAATTCGCGGATTGTCTCTTGAATCTTGGAATCTGTTGCGTAGTCGATGGACGCAGTCGCCTCGTCCATGACCAGCACCGTGGGGTTCTTAAGGATAGCCCGTGCCAGGCAGAGCAGTTGCCTCTGACCTTGCGAGAGGTTGGATCCAGACTCGCTGACTGGAGAGGAGAGGTCAAGGAAGACGTTCTTGTTGGCCGGTGCAATTGATGCGGTGGGACTACGAGCAGGGGCGCCGTCGCTCGAGACGGAAATGGTCGGTGTTCCAGGGTTCAGAGACGAGGCTGCGGGCGTCTGCGGCCTAGTCAAGGACTCGCTGGGGCCGATGAGCTGCACCTTGCGCAGAGCCTCAAAGATCTGCTCGTCGGCGTACATGTCGAAGGGGTCAAGATTGGTGCGAATGGTACCCTGGAAAAGGGTCGGGTCCTGGGGCACGATGGTGATGGCCTCGCGAAGATCACGAAGGCCAATGAGGCCGATATCCACATCGTCAATAAGAATCTTACCCGCGTCCGCCTCAAGCGCACGGAAGATGGCTAGAGCGAGCGAACTCTTGCCGGCGCCAGTACGACCGACAATGCCGACCTTTTCCTTGGGGTTGATCTTGAAGCTGAGGTTGCGCAAGACGGGGTCGAGTTCCTTACGGTAAGCCGTCGTGTAACCGATGAACTCGATGGAGCCCTGGCTGGGCCAGTTGGCGGCGGGTCGGTTCTTCTCGATGATGGGTTCCGCTTCTTGTTCGACGTCGAGATACTCCTTGATACGCTCGACAGAGTTCATGTTCTGTTCGTTCAGAGCGTACAGTCGGACGAGCCACAAGACGTTCTCCGTGAAGCCAATGGCATAGCTGAGCGAGATACCAGCCGCACCAGGATCAATCTTGCCCAGGCTGAGAATGACAAAGACTCCCGCAAAGAAAGACACGAGATCGCCGAGGAGATCGGTGCGGAACGACAGCCAACGGTTGCAAGCCCACATGTAAATGAAAGGTCGCGACTGGGTGTTGATCTTGGTAAGGTTCTCCCGAATGAAGCGGCGCTCATCGCCATAGGCTCGGATCGTAGTCATGCCAGAAAGGGTCTCGCTGAACTGCTGGAAGAGAGGGCTCCGCTGGACGGCTTCCAGTCTCTTCAGATCGCGGGAGGCCCGCAGATAGAACGAGCCGACGAGCCAGTAAGCAATGGTGATGAAGACACCGGCAATGAGGAAACCGGGCGTGATGAAAGCAATAAGCGCAACGGTGACCACGATACCCAGAGCGCACCCAATGACGCCGATAGCGATGGGGGCGACTTCCTGGTCGACAGCCTCGAGATCCTTGCTGAAACGGTTCATGAGCTGGCCGAGAGGGGTTACATCGAAGAACTTGAACTTGGCCCTCGACACGGCTTCCATGAGCGACGTGTGGATCTTCTTGGATGCCGTGAGAGAACCATAGAAGATCCAAATGTCACGAATAAAGGCAGTCAAGGCGCCGAGAATGCCGATAACCGCGAGACCGGTGAGATAGTATGCCACATTGACACCATGGGATGCCTCAATGGCGAAGGTCGTGGAGTTGCCGACAAAGCCATAGTGTGCAATGTGTGCAAAGTAGGTCGGCGACAGGCTCTGTTGGCTGTAGCTGTGCGACGCGGTTGAGAAGTCGATGCGGTCGACTTTTTCGACAACATATTGATTGGCCCACTCTCGGACCCAAACGTTCGTGGCGACGCCTGAGACTTGTTGCAGACTGAACACAACGCCGGCGACGATCCAGAACCACCAGGGACCCATCGAGCCAAGGTAGAGCTTAATGATCGGCCACTTGACAGCTCCGACGGCCTTGTTCTCGTCCATGGCGTCCTTCTGCTCCTTCTTCTTTGTAGGGTCTTTGGCAGGCGCACCATTTCCGTTTTCATCCCCGGGATTCACGACCGTCTCGGCGCTGTCTTCTCCGACGCTAGAGGGGACGCGGGACGGGATACGGGATGCGCAAGCAGTACCGGGGCGGGATCGCTGGACATCCTCGCCGAGCTTTCCGGCTTCGATGAGCTCACCGGCAGGGCCTTGGACTGCCACTCTTCCGTTCTCCAGGACGACGACGAAGTTGGCAGAGGGCGCGCAGAGCTGGATGTTGTGAGTGACGAGAATGCATGTTCGGTTGAGCATGAGCGGGCCGTGGATGGCATTGTTGAAGATCCACTGTGCGGTATGAGAGTCGACGGCGCTCAGACAGTCGTCGAGCAGAAGATGGCGAGAGTTCGAGTAGAGGGCACGAGCCAGTGAGATGCGCTGTTTCTGGCCGCCTGAAAGTGTGATGCCCTTCTCTCCGACAAGGGTTTCGTCGCCGTTGTCGAGAATCTCCAGGTCGCGTTCCAGAGCACAGGCCACAATGACATTCTTATACCTCTCCTCGTCGAGATCGGCCGAGAAAAGAATGTTCTCCTTGATGTTGGCATTGACCAACCAAGCGGACTGTGCAACATAGGCGATCGTGTCGGCCAGTCCAGTCTCAGGATCGGGGCGGACGTCCTCTCGACTGCGACCACCGGGACAGTATACCTTGCCGTCGACCAAGGTCATCTCACCAAGAAGAGCCATGAGCATGGAAGTTTTGCCAGATCCTGTCGGGCCAGCAATAATGTTGAGATGACCAATCTTGAAGTCCACGTTGAGGTCGAGCAGACGGAAGGCCATCGATCCATCTTTGGCAATGGTATCCTTGCCACCCCAAATGAAGGTGGCATCCCTGAACCCAATGGTCTCTTTGCCATTCTCGTCCAGGTTGTCAACGCCGAGCTGTTCATATTTCTCCGTCTCCTCTTCCATCAGGAACTCCTCAACACGATCGAGAGATACCTTTGTCTCTTGCACGTGCGCGAACATGTCGCCGAACTGGTCGAGGGGCACGCGGAGGAGCATGAAGAGCGAAATGGCAGTGAAGGCGACTGAGGGGTAGAGAGGCTTCTTCTCGACAGCAGTGTAGATGAGGAAGGAGAAGAACGTGATGAGGACAGGGACCGAGTTCCAAACGGCAACAGCGCATGACCAGATGACGAAGCGCGACCGCAGGGCCTGGAGCTCCGCAGCCCGCTTCTCATCGACGATCCTGCCAAATCGCTGCTCCCAGGCGAAATACTTGATGATGCGAATGTTGTTGAGAATCTCGTTCGTCACGTTGATACGCTTGTCCGTGGCCTTGAGGATTTGCTTGGACGTGTTGGTGAAGCCGCGAGCAAAGCCATAGTTGACGGGGAGCAGCAACGCCATGACGACGAGTCCAGGAATGGCGCTCAAGCCCATAACCTGCCAAAGCAGAACAACTGAGATGACAAGCTGGGTGGGAGCGGAGGCGCAGAGGAAGTGGAGGTAGGCGGTAATCTCAGCAATTTTGAAGCTGTCGACTGACATGAGGTTGATGATGGTTCCGAGGTTTGCCTGTTCGTCGTCCGTCTTGGCCTCCTTCGGCGCACCAGCGGCGGACGCCTCGGCATCGGAGGCTGAGTCTTGCGACTTCTTCTGCTTCAAGCGCAGCTTTCGCTTAATCTTGTCCATGGTGCCCTCCTTGCCAGCATCGGCTTGGTCCTTCTTCTCGCCGAGGACCTTGTCCGCGCCGGCCGCGGCCTTGCGCCGCAGCGCTTTGGCATAAATTTCACCGACGATGATGGCGCGGATACGAATGCAAATCTTTCGACCGATCCAGAGGGCCATTCCATCACCGAAGGAGCGAACAAGGTCGAGAATGGGCAGGAGAAGCACGTAAAGCCACAGCACGTTGATCGGCGCCTCGTCGGGTCTTTCGACATACTCGAGGATAGCCTTGAGCAGCAGTGTCGGCGCAAATGTGAAGACACCTCCAATGAAGGCAAGGAAGCACTGAAAAATAAGCTCGCCCTTGAAGTACTTGAGCAGGTGCATGGCCAGCGAGGTGGTCCTCTTGAGAGTTCGGTAGTCGGCAAGGACGGCGGCAGCCTTCTCCTGGGGCACAAGGTTCCAGACGGCCTTCATCTCGATGGTCTCCTTGTAGCCACGCCAGATCATGGGGTCGATCCAGGAGAAGGTGGCGAGCGACAGCAGGGAGGCCAGGGGCTCGCGCGAGGGCTCAACACCGTCCTCCCACTCGAGCAAGACAGTCTTGTTGCCCTTCCTCGTGCTTATGGCCATGACGAAGAGGAATGTCGTCAGGGCAAACTCGACAATGACGAGGATTTGGATCAGGCGGCTGCTCGGATGGATCAAGACGGAGCGGAAGATGAAGGTGGTGAACAGCCACTGGCAACCGTAGATGGAGGCGGTGTGGTTCCACAGGGTCGCGGGGACTCGCCATTGCGTGCTGGTGAGGGTAAGACGGAGCGTGGCAATGGCAAAGACGTAGAGCCAGGCCACGAGACCGGCGACGGCAGACAGCTTTCCCTTCTCGCCGTAGCCGCCAGTGACGATGGCAATGATGTAGATGGCGACAAGTCCAATGATGGCAGCCTCTTCGACGAATACCGACAATTTCTGGGCATGGGGGCTGTCGGCCTGGACAATCGAGATGACGGAGCCGCGCGTTGTCGTCTTGATGAGCGAGAGACGGCCGCCGCCGTTGCGGTTCATGGTCAGAGGCTCGTCGTTGTCGTCGCTGTCCTCGAGCTCGTCGGGTGGGAGGTCGGTGTGATTCG